CTAATATTATTACCTTATTATCCCGCCATTTTTAACTCCAATGCCTGCACTAGAGGCTAGAGGATATAAAACTAAAAAGAATACTATGTTTATAATTTATCAAAGACAAAAGTTATATTTACAATATTTTTTCTTTTGTTTATGTCATCCTTGCTATCTATAGGATTGGGTGCAAAATGGATTAATATTTGTTTTGCTTGTGGTCATGATCCATTCCATTTTTTCCGGATCATCATATTCATCATTTGTATCTGTTCTATATATTTACATGAATATCTGTCAAAATCAAGATATTTAACCTAATATCTAACCCATCCGTTTCGTAAAATTTATTAAAAAATTTCACCTGTAATATATGACTTCCGCAGCGAAATATTCAAACTAAATTCGTTTCTCTAACATAGAAACTCCCATAGTGGAACACCAAACAAATTCCAATTGAAAAACTGCTCTTGCATTTTGTTTACTGATAATAGAGTTTTGGGTAAACAACATAATAGGGTAAACAACGTGATAGATGTTTCATTCATTTTATTGTTATAAATCCAACCATAAAACGTTAGCAACATGTTACTAACAATTTTTTTCATGTTTTTTAATTTAAAAGAAATCATTGGTTTAATATCTAACCCGTCCGTTTCATAATATATATGTTTAACAATTCTTAATAATGTTTCTCTGCAAGAAACATGTTAATATTTCAGGTATTTAAGGTTGGTAATTACTGATTGAAATTTTTAAAAGCTCATGAAAGTTGTAGAAAATGATGTACAAGGTTGAAACATATATTTTTCATCAAAAGTTTGAAGCTTATGAAAACAGAACACAATATCTATATGTTTCCAAATTCCTAATGAAATTTATTTAGTTTGGTGTGCAAATGGATCAAAATATAATTCAGGAGAACACATAAGTGAACTTCCTCCGGCAGTCCCTGAAGCCGAAAAGCCGGTAGGTAATTTGATCTTAATTTTGTCTTCGTCTCCCTTCACAGTCCAATTAAAACACTGCACAAGTGATCCAATTGTGAGACTCAACACCAGAGAAGCGTGAGAAGCTCCAAGACATCCTCGCCTTCCGCTACCGAACGCAAGATAATTCACATATTGACCTTTTAATTCCAACATATATTGTTGGTAATAACTCATCTTTCTCTCTGTATTTTGTTCCACCTCAAGAAACCTCTCAGGCATAAACTTGTCAGGATCTTTGTATGTGGTCGGATCACGCATTATCCCGTAAGCATTGATGAAGATCTTTGTACCGGATTTTACATTGTACCCATTGATATTCATGTCTCTGTTGCTTTCTCTGCGTAGTAATGGTCCCACTGGATGGAGTCTTAATGTCTCCTTGATAGCTGCTTGCAAGTAAGGAAGCTTCTGCAAGTCTGATTCTTTGAGCAACCGATTTGTGTTTCCTAAAATAGATTTGATCTCCTCTCTCATCTTCCCCAAGATATCTTGATTGTTGATTAGCTCTGTCATTGTCCATTGTAAAGCTGCAGAAGTCGTGTCTAGGCTCGCCATGAACAACTCCTAAAACGAGGTACACAAAGATGTTTTTAAAGACGCTAATTGAATTCTAATGAAAGCTAAAGAAAAAAAATAAAGGATGAAAAAAAGCTTACAAGGATGAAGAACTTGATCTGATTCATAGTCAATTTGAGTTCGGCTTTTGGGTCATTATACGTGTCCAACAAGATATCGACGATATCTTTATCTTTCTCTCCATCATCGTTGCTCTTATCGTCTTCATATTCCTTCAATATCTTCTCAATCAACTCATCGTACCGCCAAATGGAAGATCTAAGCCTCTTACCATTCCCAAACACATCAAGATCCCGCAATGGTCCAAATAACTCCATGAATCCGAACTTTGTGGCGCAAGCCATTATATCGCTCACGATCTTTCTGATCTCTATGGGAATATTCGAGTTTTGGCGACAACGTTTCCCCATAACCATCTTTGATAAGATCTTTGTGGTCAAAGCAGTGAACTCCAATCCGAGATCACACGCCTCTCCATTTCTCGATTTCTCAACGAGAGATCTCAATAAAGCTAGCGTTTCCTCCTCTCTAATATCGACAAATCGATCAAGCTGATAACCCGCGAATAGCTTAGTCATGCATAGCTTCTTCATGAACCTCCAATAAGGTCCATAAGGTGCATTGAAGAACTCTGCCCCTTTGTAAACATTGAACTGTCTCGGACCAAACACGAACTTGGAAGCGAAATCAGGATCATGAGTCTTGAGGATTTGTTTAGCTGTGTCGGAATCTGAGACAACTAGGACTCGCAGTGATCCTATGCGTATGTTCATGAGAGGACCATACGTGTGAGCCAAGGCTTGTAAAGAACGTGGAAGGCTTGACCGGAGAAGATGCATATGACCGATAACGGGAAGTCCTCGGGGACCGGGAGGAAGACGGTGGTGGCTGCCGGAGGAGCTGAAGAGTCGGTGAAGAAGGAAGATGGTAATGAATGTGAAGAAAAGATAAGAACATGATGTGTAATTAATATCAAAATTCATTGCAACCATTTCTGTATGTTTTTGATGGTGCTGATTAGTGATTGGGATCAAACAAGTATTAGATGTTTTATATAAAAAAGAAGCTTTTGTTGTTTGAAAATTCTATAAAAATTTGTCTTGTTGCAATGAAGGATCTAAGAATAGAGGATTCTTAGATGATAATGACTTCGACTCAAAAATTAGTTGGCATACTATTTTATTTTTAAAAAATGTTTTTATTTTATGCATTTTTTTTTACCAACACACCTATTGGACTATTCTGAAATTTCAATTTTCCGTCCATAATTTTTTAAAATTTTATATTTCTGCCCAATAAATTTGGAATTTTTAATTTTTCCACCAATAATCATACATTATATTGATAAACAAGACGTTACATAATCTTATCACATGAGATAAAATAATAACATCGATTTTCTTACTATATAACAAAGTATTGTGTTAATCTACAAAAGAGTAACTACACAGATTACCAAAAGGTCCAAAACAGTTAATTTGTTTTTTTTTAAAATACAAAAATGGTAAAACCGAGAAACTAAGAGCCCACATATATAATTATGTATACTTGTAGGACGAAATTGAAAGATATATTGTGGGAATAATCAGATCACAAAGTAAAAAAAAAACAAATCTCTTAAAAGGAATCCTTCACCTACAATGGCGGCGAACGCGAAAAAATTGGCGCCCTGATAATCAATCTTCTGCGAAGCATTTTGATTTTAGTCAGTCGCCGACTCCAATTCTTCAGTCTTCTTTTGCTCCCGACGCGCCGACGAGTTTATCGATCTATTAGGGTTCCGATGGGTAGAAAAAAGAAATCGAGAGCTTGGACTGCAGAAGAAGATGAGGTTGAGATGGACAACAATGATGGATCATCTTGCGAGAGAAGTCTCTACGAGGTATTTTGACACTGTTTCTCATTCCGATCTCTGCTGTTCTTCTCTCGCGTGATTAGGGTTTGTCAGGGATTTCAATTTTTGCTCAAATTCCTGTGTTAAGTAATCATCTTCTGGTTATACTGTTTATTCGAGTACAGTTTAGGAATGGGTTTGGTAATGTCATGATTCTGTAAAACTACTTCAAAATTTCATGTCTTTGATTCTGGTTAAATGGTGTTTTGATGTTTTGAATTCAAGGAGATGATTGAGTTGTAAAGATCCGGAACAATACTTTTCTATGTTCCTTGGTGTAAATTTAACTCATAATTTTGGTTGTTCTTGTGTGTTGAATCCTCTGATTTTGTTCAGTGGTCAGTTATTCTTTGCTTATATGATTAGGATATTGTGTATCAGAATGATTTGATTAAGCAAAAAAGCAAACTAATCCTCTCTTTACTGAAGGTTATTGGCGTTGAGAGAACAGCTACTCCACAGGAAATAAGGAAAGCATACCATAAATTGGCATTGCGGCTTCACCCGGATAAAAATCAGGATGATGAGGTTACAAAAAAACTCTTTCTTGGTCTACCATTGAGATCTGGAGTACTTTGCATTGTTTATTTGGGTTCATTTACTTGGAAATGCTACTCTTGTTTTGTAACAGGAAGCTAAAGAGAAATTCCAGCAGCTGCAAAAGGTGATGTCAATTCTTGGGGATGAAGAGAAAAGAGCAGTCTATGATCAAACTGGCTCAGTTGATGATGCTGTGAGTTTCTGTTTCTTTGAATTTCTTACCAAACGGTGCTTTCAGTTTCCGAAAATTTTGATGGTTTTACTGGAATTCCTAATGCACCTAAAGCAGTTTCTTTTACTACTTCCTTTTGTTTTTTGATAGTTCAGTTTCATCGAGAAAAGAAAGCATTTAACTTAACTTCTGTATTAGCATTACGAGATTTCCTTAAAATTGTGTATTTTTGTGCTTGTTAGGATCTTGCTGGTGATGCATTTGAGAACTTGCGGGATTTCTTCAAGGCCATGTACAAGAAGGTAGCACATCAACTTTCTCAATTGATACATTTCTGGACTATGTGCACTTCTGTTTCTACTGGCTACACTAACTTGTTTTTTATGTTACTGCTGATTTAGGTCACCGAAGCAGATATTGAAGAGTTTGAGGCAAACTACAGGGGATCTGAGTCAGAGAAGAAAGACTTACTTGAGCTGTTCAACAAGTTTAAGGGTAAAATGAACAGGCTATTCTGCTCAATGCTTTGCTCGGACCCCAAGCTTGATTCACACCGTTTCAAAAACATCCTCGATGAGGCCATCGCAGCAGGTAATCTATCTTGTTGAACTAGAATGTGTCTTGCTAGATATTCTTTTCATATAAGGAATTTTCCTTCTGAATGTGAATGAATGTTGATAAAGCAATGGAATTGATGTAGTGCCTTCTTCAGTCAGAGGATGAGTGTAAAATGTTCCAGTTGAGCTGAGTGTTTGATATTTTAGTACCCATCTATATTTGCATCGTAATTCTCTGATTCCAGTTTGGTTCTTGTCTAGTTAATATAACCTGATATTAAATCTTCTGTAAACTTGGGCAATTTGCTGGTTTATGAGTGCACAGTATTTAATAGTAGTAATACATGTGATTTCCTTTTCAGGAGAAGTGAAATCAAGCAAGGCGTATGAGAAATGGGCAAAGAAAATTTCAGAAATGAAACCGGCCACCAATCCATCGAGGAGGAGGCAGAAGTAAAGTCTCGTGCCTCCGTTTCATATAAAATTTTGTTTTACCAATCAAGTTGTGTACAATTTTGCTTAAACTTGCGTATATACTTGTAGGTCAAAAAAGGATCCAGAGACGGATCTTGCCTTGTTGATTTCGCAGCGAAGAGAGGAGAGGAAAGGGCAAGTGGATGCAATGTTTTCATCACTCATCTCTAGGTATGGCGGTAATGCGGAAGCAGAGCCCACCGAAGAAGAATTCGAAGCTGCCAAGAAAAGGATCGAAAACTGGAGACCATCCAAGAAATCGAAAAGAAAGTAAAAGGCTATAAACAGAGTTTGTCTTTCTAGTAATGAGTTTTTGATTGGAGAAGAAGAATGTTCAAGCTGCGTAATTGTTTTTTTTTTTAAATTGCACAAGTGTGTTCTTCACTTGAACAAGTGTCTTCAAGACAAGTTGATTTTGGTTGGTTTCATATAAAGGAATATGACTCTTGAATTTCCAAATTACGTAAATATATCGATTATTGCGTTATAATCAGTGGAATTATTATTTTCTTGTCGAGAAGTAACCGCCTGAAGAGAAAACGAAACAGAATAATAAAATAGACGAGACTAAACCCTAACGGTAAAATCCAAAACTCTTTTGTGAAACCAAAAAATTCCTCCAAGAAAACATTTCCTTGACGATCTCTCTTCTTCTCCACCGATTCAATTAGGGTTTATGATCTTTTGCAAGCGATGGGTTGTTGTTCATCAGATTGCTTTGTCTACTTCGTCCTCTCCATTGCTTTAGCTTTCATTGCCGTCTCCACAACTCTACATTCACCTCAAGATTCCGAACCAAACAGACTCATTACTCATCCTCTCTCCTCAAACGCTCTAACCAAATCCAATTTCAAAGCAATCGCAACTCTCCTCAACATCTCCCCTGAGATCTTCCTCTCTTCGTCTACTTCAAACACAACCATTTTCGCAATCGAAGACTCTTCCTTGTTCAACACGTCATCGCTTCCTCCTCTGTTTCTCAAGCATCTTCTTCAGTACCACACACTCCCTCTAAAGCTTCCGATGAACGACCTTCTCAAGAAGCCTCGAGGAACCTGTCTCCACACTCTTCTACGTCACAAGAGTCTCGAAATCTCAACCGTTGATAAAGAATCAAGAACAGTAGAAGTGAATCATGTTCGTATCTCACATCCCGACATGTTTCTTGGAGATTCTTTGGTTATTCACGGAGTTCTTGGACCTTTCTCTCCTCTGCAACCTCACAACATTCTCCAGTCATCTTTATGTCAATCCGATGCAAACAGAACCAATGAAGAAGAAGAAGTTCCGGTTAAGATAGATTGGATTCGAATTGTTCAGCTACTAAGCTCAAATGGGTTTGTGCCATTTGCAATTGGATTACACTCTGTTCTCAATAGGATTGTTGCAGATCATCAACACAAGAATTTGACCGGTGTAACGATTCTAGCCACACCGAATCTGGTCTCATTGTCATCAGCTTCTCCATTGCTCTATGAAGTTATGAAACGTCACATTCTTGTTCAACGGTTTACCAACAAAGATCTTGCTTCAATGCCTGATAAAGCTTCAATCAAGACACTTGATCCTTACCAAGATCTTGTAATCACCAGAAGAAATGTTGTGAATTCGTCTCAAGATTTCATGATTTCTGGAGCTGAGATTGTAGATCCAGATATGTTCTCTTCTTCAAACTTTGTAATTCATGGGATTTCACACACTCTAGAGATCCCAAGGGGATAGATAAATCACATCCCTAATCATGTTTTTTCTTTATGTTCCTTTGTAGATAGACACATCTATGTTGTTTAGATTTTTGTTTCTTAAAACCAATATTGTTATGTAGTAAACAAGAATATTATAGTTAGTAACCATTCAATTTCACAATGTTTTCTAATAAGTATTTTGCATGATTACCATTAATGTACTAAATCAACGAGCGATTGTGAGTCGCCTTCAAGATTTAGCCATCGGTAACCACACGGTACCATGTTAATTGTAAAGCATGTAGCAAGCTTAATTCTTCCAAAGACAAGATTTTATTTAGTCCATAAACGTGGTTGGGTTTTATTGAGTCCAAAGAGCAACCTTAAAACCTAGCTTAGGAAGTACGCAACCTTAAAACCTAGCGTAGGAAGTAAGCAATCATAGACCTAGCGTAGGAAGCAAGCCCATATTTCTTGCTAACACAAAACCTTATATATATCCTCATCTCTCTCCATTGCCAAACCTCATCTTTGTTTGCTGATATGGTAAGATTAGGTTTTTTTTTTCTCTTGTCCCATCCCCTTTGTATTTTGTGCTTCTTAGAGATTGTTGATTGATCTTGTTCTGTTTAGTTCGATGTTGTTGTACGAACTAGGGTTTTTATTTTTATTTTTTCTGATAGCTAATCCCTAGGTGAAATTTGTAGATTTGTGTGGTTTAATTGAGTAGTTTTTCACAAGTGATTGAATCGATTGAGAGGTGGTTGTTTGCTAGTGAATACATGATGAACTTTGTGTCTTGTTTAATCCAATTCTGGTTGCTTTTATAGTTTCAAGAGCACATCCTTGTACTGTTTGGATCTTACCTCATGTGCAATAATAACTCAATGCTTGTTCTGGTTTATCTCTGTGCAGGAAAGTAACATGGACTCAAGGGCCATGGTGGAGGGTGCTAAAATAATGATGCCATATGTCAGTATGGAACAGGCCAGGGAGAACCTTAAAAGTAAGGCAAAGGCAAGATTGTGGTTTCATTGATCCTTGTCCTGTTGTAAGGGATAACAAAGGTTTTGTGTGGGGGCCAAATCAAAAGAAGAAGGATGCTTTTCATGAGTATGAGGATGAAGAATGGATTGTTATTAGTAATAGTAATGAAATCCGCGATGGACGACGAAAACCGTATATGTGTGCTTTTCACGCAAGCTTACCATCAGTGCCCAGAGATTCTAAGATACAGATCAGTGGTGTAGGTCCCATACCATTTCCCCCCGAGGATCCTTCTAAGGGAGATACATTGGAAGAAAGGGTAAAGATGCTGGGCATACTTGAGGTATTTGCTCTATAAGTCCGCTTTGCCTTGTCTTATTAGGGCTTGTTTAATATCATCCTACTAGTTTGTTATTTGGTTTGATCTCTTATATATATATTTTGATTTGGTTTATGAATTTTGAATCATTGGCCAGGTACGTAGGCGTGTCAGAGAGACATGCGGCTTCGAAGTATACCAGCGATTCTATCCATTCCAATGAGAAGAAGAAGAGATCTGAGAAGAATCTGTGTCAAGTGAAGATGAGATGATCATAACCTCAACAATGTCCTTAATTAATTAGTATTAAAGCCTTTAAAGTAAAACAAATACTGTGTTTCTTTCTTTTAAGTTGGAATGTTTTAAAGTCGATTGTATTAAGGATACTAGTGATCAGATAATGAAATCTTTTTTTAACTTTACAATTAAAGAATAAGAAAGCTGCTATAATATTTGTCTTTAGAATTCTCTCAGTAAAGTTCTTACATACCTATCGGGAATCAAACAATGTTTCTGATAAATTAGCTAGGAAAGCATTAACATGTGAACCCTTGTGGTCTTTATTTCATTGTTGCCCATGGTTTTTACGATCCTTTGTAAATGATGATGTTAACATTTGAAGAAATAAAGAACTGTAGTCGGAAAAAAAAAAAAAATTTCCAATTTCATCCTCCTCTTGTCTAATCATAT